TAAAACTAGCGACATTTTTGCTATACAACTTCGATTTTCAATCAGTTGTTGTTGCTGTTATTGTATTTGTGGGCAGCTTGACACGAAAATCTCTGAAACAATGTGTGGTTGAGGGGTGGGGGCAGGGTTTATGTATCTTTTCTTGTATTTGTTGTCTCTTGGCGCATTCTCAATGCACATTCCGCCAAATATTTTTCCACATCTTGTGACAGCTTGGCAGCCACACATATGCACACTCAAGTGTGTGTGTGTGTGTGTGTGTGTGTGTGTGTGTGTGTGCTGCAATCAAAATAAAGCAAAACTCAAGTTGTCAACGCGTAGGTGGCTTTATTTGCTGTCTGCCATATCCCCCTCTCGCTGTCCTTCCCGCGGCCTGTCTTATCAGTCGCATTTTTTTTGTACCCTGAACCCATGGCAAATCTGTAAAGAGAGAGTATATTGGCTAAGAACATATGTATGTAACGGTCAGTAGGAAACAAACAGGATTTATATATTCTTTATCAGGACTATAATGTGTCGATCTTAGAAATTACTAAAACTTTGAAATCATGAATGCCCATAAATTGTATGGGAAAAAGAAAAGAATCACAAACGACTAACTTGCAACGTGGAATTCTTTTAAGAATGTCTCTTTTAGTGTTTAGTTTTTAGCCTTTAAGTATTGAGAAGGTAATAACTGCAGCTCGGCTTTGGGCTTAGGGTATCTCTTAGCCGGTCCCGGCTAGAGTTTTGGGATATTTTTGTGCTTTTTACTGGACTCTTTGCAAAGTAAACAGCGCGACAAATAAGCCGCCGACAATTGAATTGCTGTCGTCTGACTGCCTGACCCGCTGACTCCGCGTGGGGGTGACTCAGTCGCTGACGTCGCCGGCATATCAGCAAAATATTGTATTTTATTATTTTTGAAATACCAAACGCTTAACCGAAGTTAAGCTAGTTGTTGTTCTTTCTTTGGCAATGACCAATGTGTATTCATTTACGATTAATGCGAATTTCGAGCTGTCACACTCACAAGCTGCAAAGCTTAAGAATTATGAATGAAATTTCACTTCATATACAAAATGAAACACGTTCTTATGTTTGTTGGTCTTTTGCCATTTATTGAATGTCAGCTTATAGCCGCATCATTGCCCAATGACACTAGCTGAAAGTGATACCTAAGCACTGGCATGACATCTTTGTGGAAGAAAAAAGCAGCTAGAAATCTGGCCAGCTGAGACTCGTTGAAAGTGACATTAGCATAAAAAGTGTGTGCGAAAGCCTGTGGTGATAATTGCTCAATGACACTAGCTGAAAGTGACACTTAGCTGTGGACATTAGAATGAAAGATATGACAGCTAAATGTCTTGACAGAGACACTTGTTGAAAGTGACATTAGAATGAAATTTTTACCGCAGAAAAAAAAGCCACTAAAAGCTTAATACTAGCTGAAAGTGACATAAACAACAAATCTGTGTGTTAGAAAATGCCATTCTAAATTGGGGCCAATACTGGGTAAAAGTAAAATCTGTGCGAGAGTAATAGCAAGAATGGCGATGTCTAACAGAAAAAAGATTATTTTCAACTAACTTTTCACCTTTTATAGCTATACAACACTGCAGAAAAATCTGTTTTAAAAGCTTTAAAAGCACATGAAAGCTTGACTCTTGATTAAATGTCGCGTAGGAAGTAAACACTAAAACTAACTCCAGGCTAAGTTGATTTTCTTTCATTAGAGTTGAACTTAATGAATTTTGTTTTAACATTATCTTAAATTTGTGAGCTGTTAATCAACATTGAATTGGTTTTTTTCCATGCTTTTTAGCTAGTGTCATTAGACGTTGAAAGGCACTTCTAAAATTGTGAAAGCCACACAAATTGATTACACTTTTCAACTACGCTTAAGCTTTATTTAAACGCCGGAATAATTAAATATTGAAAAGCGACCTGATACACGAGTGTCATGAGCTCTCACAAAGAGTTTAAAGTAATTTATGGTGAAATTTCATGCCCACCCTTGGCTATATTTGTTACTCATACGCAACGTGTAGCGGCTATTGGAAATTAATAGACAAATTCTCGCCATTCTCTGCGCCTTTGAACGTTCAAAATAATCGAAATGGGCAGCAAATTTGTTGTGCCACTCGCTTCCCAGAGCAACTTTCAATAGTTTTCCAGAGCCTTAGGGCGCATGCTTAGCACTCCATCAAGTGATTTATTTAACACGCGCTCAATCCGAGTAAGTGGCCAGAGGGGGTAGGGGGAGAAATGGAAACTGGAGACCCAGACTGGAGACGGGGCGACCATTAAGAAGCATCAACGGCCAGCGGCGCTCAGCTGCGTCCAGCTGTTGACCCACTGCACCAGTTTTAATACGCGCCCCGCCATTGCCATTGATTTATAGATGCGAGTTGTAGCTGCACAGATGTATCTGTATCTGTAGCTGTATCTGTAACTTTGTATCTTGAAGTTAAAGTTGAAGTTGATGCTCATCCGGCGCAATTTCACATGCGCGCTCTTTAGCCACACAGCTGTGTGGATGGATAATTATGGTGGGCTGTCAGTTGCTCTAGGAATAGGAATAAAGTAAAGGGCCCCATTGCCCCGTGGGACAGTTGCTGATTTAAATTCGTGTTAGAGAGACAAAATAATTACGGCAATTGGCCAAAAACAAAAAACCAAAACGAAACCAAACTGACAAGCACGACGAACGTATAAGTGAACGAATGAGTGAGTGAGTGAATGAATGAATGAATAACTTCGGCAACGAATTTGAGTTTAGCTGCGATTTTGGTCTTGGGAACGTTCAAAGCCATTAAAATTCTTTTGCTCTAGCTGCAAACGATGCGCGCCGCCAGGCAAAAGGCCCAACTTGCGACTCTTAACTCGATTTTCGGCTCATTGCCAGAGACACCGCTGCCTAAGTAGTTGACCCACAAAATTATTGTTCTTTTTTCCCTTTATTTGTTGTCTGCTGCATTTGTCTGTCATATGATTATTATTATATATTTGCCATTAAGCTGGCAACAATTCTATGGCGCCAAAGTCAAAGAGACAATCAACAGCTGCCCACGTTGATGGCGGCGATTGCGAATGCGCTGGCGTCGCACCACACTCAGCTGAACTACAGTGAACCACACTGACGTCGACGTTGCCAGTCAAAGCCAGTCAAGTGGCTCAGAGGCTTGGTCGTAATGTTGCCCATAATTTTTTTTTATTATTTTTTTATTTATTTATATATATAGTATTTTTTGGGGGGCTTTATGTGCCTGAGTATTTACAATTCGATTTGGTTTGTGAGAGTCACCGACGCCGTCGCACAGTGCAAACATTCAAAATATTAAGTATACGTAGCGTGTTTTGATTGAGCATTTGACACCAGGGCTGCCGTAAATGTTGATAGCCGGCAAGGCGATTACATATCGCAATGATGGCTTTTCAAATTGTGATATAATTTGAAAACTGTAAATAACTTCAACTTTATTGCATTGTTAACACTTTTTGAGCACATTTGACAACACTTATAGCTAACAATCTTAGCATAACAATCGACAATGGCAGCTGACAGCGCAGACACACAACATTTTTTTTCAGTTTTGAATGAAATTGAATATTTTGGGTAACATTTAAAGTAACATATCAGTATTCAGTGTATCGCGGATCAAAACCAGATGAATAAATTTATGTATATGATTACCTTAATGTGTTATTAAGGATAATGTACTCTTAACTCTCCATTCATTGTAATTTTCATCGTTATATTCCAATTGTTCCTATAGCAACTAAATGAAGTATAGATAAACTAGCAAAGGCCAAGTTTGGTCCAGATACCTTCCAAAACCGAAAAGTTCTCATATATCTCTTGTACATAGTGTGGACTATGCGGGGGCATATGTTATAGACATGTATATGTTATCTATAGACACGGACCTCTTATCTATATTTTCTATCTATTATTTAACTATAGATTTTAACAAAAAATACCTTTATCGATGCCTGTAAAATGAATTATACGAATCAGATGCTTATCTGAGCAACGATTTTTGGTCTACTTTGCCTATCTATTATTCATTATTATCTGTTAAGATTGAAGTTCTGCTGACACCTCCGGAAAAGGCTAACAAAAATAGTTATTGGAATGTTTTCTACATAATAAGTGGAAATCATTTTCGCTATTTGAGCTCGATTGAAAACAAAGAATAGCTCAAATTTAATAACAAATGCAAAGCTTTAGACGAGCCTTAGTTAGTTGCAGGTCCGCAAGTTTGACGATCTTGCATGTAGATAATCAGTGAGTTGTTATCAAATCGGGGGGTAAATATTGCATGGGTTTAAGTGCAGCCCTCGTCAGACAGACACAGTCAATCCCTGGGTGGGTTCAGTTACTTAATCCGGCTTATTATGGACGCTCTGTTTGGTTGCCTGTTGATTTGTTGAGCTGGCCGCGTCCAGTTTTATTTCGCGCTGCGATTATGTACGAGTAATTTTTTGTTGGTTCGCTGTTGTTTCTTTGGGTTTCTCAACATCGCACAAAATTCGTTTGGCTGCACTTCAAATGTTTCGTTGCTGGCAATTTTGTTACCATTGGCAATCGTCGGGCTTTTTGGGCTTATCGCCAGCAATCGCTGCACAGTGCAACAATAATAATTTTCACTTAATTATCTAATGAGTGCGCAGAGTAAACAAAAAGCAAAATAGAAACCAAAGAGCATTAGGCTGAAATGATGTTTGGGGGTATTCATTCATTTTTGGTTTTATTTGATTTTGCGATCATTTGCAAACTGATTTTAAAGCTCAGCTCGGCTTTTGACCTGCAGCGATGTGGACATAACTAATGATTAAATTGCCAAGAGCTGCAGTGAAATTTTTGCCAGGCTTCCATTATGTATACGCAGCGTTATGCAAGCTGCCAGTTGCCGGTTGCCAGTCGCCAATTGTTGGTTACATTTAATGAAAGCCAACAGTAGCATTTAACTAAATTGTTTTTTCTTACAATTTTTTTTTGTATTTTTCTATTGCAGGATGACATGCAGTCGCCACCCACGCAGCAGCAGCAGCAGCAGCAACAATTGCTGCCGCAGCAACAGCAACAGTCGCTGCAGCATTTGGATCAGTGCGGTCTGACACAAGCCGGCCTGGAGGAGTATAATATACGTGCCTCGTCCTACTACGATCAGACGACATTCCATCATCAGAAGCAGGGCTCCTATGCACAATCCGAGGGCTATCACAGCTATGTGTCCAGCTCGGATAGTACATCGGCGACGCCGTTCCTAGACAAGTGAGTATAGCTTGGGCTTGAGCTGGGGCTTGGACTATTGATGCGTTGTACTTGGGCTTAGTTGCAAAACATGTTTTCTGGCGACAATTATGAATTTTATTTGCGCACACACACACACACATAGATCTACATAAAAAAGTGATTAAAAGTGATTCTTGGTAAAGCAAATAACAAACGTCGCACATGAGCCATAAAAAACACAAACGAACTAGCTTAACTTTCAAGGTCTTGGCAAGAGACTCGAGTTGCTCTATTGTCATTGTTGTTGTTGTTGTTGCTGTTGTTGTACGTACGTACCTCGCTCTTGTTGTTGTCTCATATGTTTTGGAACTTGCCACCGCAAACAGCTTGAAGAGAGTTTTTTTTTTTATATTTTTTGGCTGTCTGTGTCTCATGTCTATCGCCATCGAAATGCGATTTTGAAGGCTAAGCTGAAATTCAAGTAATTACGGTCATACCCGACCGTCGTCCGACGTCCGTCTTCCGTTGTCCGTCGTCTGGAGGCCTCCGCGTAGAAGGAAACGCCAAACATGACAACCACAAATTTCGGATTTTTATATTTTTATATAGTCAACGACGCAGCACGCAATGATTTGCCATATTTGAAGTTCTTACATTTAACGCCTTCCTCTTTCTCTCTCTCTCGCTTTCTTTCTCTCTTTTAGATTACGTCAGGAGAGCGAGCTGCTGTCCCGGCAATCACATCACTGGTCCGAGAACGATCTCTCCTCAGTCTGCAGCAATTCGGTGGCCCCATCGCCCATACCATTGCTCGCCCGCCAATGCAGCAGTGGCAACATTAGCAACGCCAACGGATCCGCACACCAGCACACCCATGCCCAGCATCATTCCAGCGCCAGCAATCACAGTCCCAGCAACAACAATAACAACAACAACAACAACAGTTCCGAGAGCACCTCATCTACTGAGACGCTCAAATGGCTCGGCTCCATGAGCGACATATCCGAGGCGAGTCATGTGACGGGCTACAGTGCCATTGCCGAGTCGGGTGAGTACTCCATTAGCTTATAGATGACATCTTATATATATTGAGTTTACGAATAAGTACGCCTAGAAAAGCTTGGAATTGTTAGCAGCTCATAAAACTTCAAGTTTGGGTTAAGGCAGTGTTAAATATTATTATCATTGTTGCAAAAGATATTTCCCCGAAGTGTAACAGAAATATTTATTGCTATAAGCCATTTTAATATGAAACACCAGCGCTGTGATGCATAAATACTTCAGGGGTATTCCTTGAAACTCTTATAAGATTTTTAAGCTTTGAAATGAGATCTGAAACACTACAAGAGTTTTCTTATAGAGATAGAGATAACTTCTTTATATGGTTTTATTAAAGCTGCGTTCGTTCATAAATATATATCATGGGTATTTTATCAAAAATTGTATAAGAAGTTTTGTTGAGTTTTATGTCAAGCTTGTCAGCTGATCGAAACTGCAAATTATTTTGAAATGCATAGTAAAGGTATTCCCGTGAATAGCTACACTAAGTAAAATCCATTCTCTGAGCAGGATAAAACCAACGTAGCTATCACTGCTCGCCTATTTCTTATTCGGTTATTTATTTATCAGCCAATTCAGCTGTTGGAATACCCCTAATTTTAATATGCATATCAAAAACATGCCTGACGTGAACGTGACTTTATCTAAATTATTTCTATTAGCAGTTTTGTTAGATATTAGAAGCCTTCTAAACCAGTTGCTGCAAAATTCGGCGACTGGCGGCCGCTCACATTAGGGTGGGGAGGGGGCGCCGACCTTGGGTCATTGTTTTGGCCCCACCGACCCACTTTTACTAGCAGCAGCAACAGCAGCAGCTCCTGGCTGCGCCTTTAGCCCATTAGAATGTTGCTATCGAACGGTTTGTTGTATTTTTATTTATATTTATATTTGTTATTTTTTTTTTTTTTTGTACCGCCCGCAGTTTCCTCCTCGCAGCTGATTGTGCACAGCTCGCGTGTGCTGACGCCCAAACGGCATCAGAGCGAGAGCGTGCTCTATCTGCACGACAACGAGGTGACATCGCCGCTGCCACCGCCGCCGCAGCCACCAACCAAGCCGGGCAGCAGTTCGGCCGTTAACAACGTCAAGCAGTCGTCGCCGATCTCAGAGGATGTTGTGCAGCCGCTGCGCTTTCAGCATCGCCACAGTCCCAGCTATCCGCCGGTGCACACGTCCATGGCACTGCATCGCTTCCAGCAGCAGCAGCCGCAAAGCTACAAGCTGACCGCACAGAGTTCCTTGCCCGAGCTGGAGTCACCGCCAGCGCACGAGGCGCGCTCACTGCTGGGTCAATCCCAGTCCACGGGCGATCTGCAGCAGCCCGCGCAGCTGCTGCGTCCGGCACAGCAGCACAAGTCGAGCATATCGGTGACCATATCCAGCAGCGAGGCGGTGGTCACCATTGCGCCACAGCCGCCGCCCAGCAAGCCGCAGCTCAACAAATTGGAGCTGCACAGCTGCAGTGCACCGAATGTGGCCAGCAGCAGCAGCGGCGGCAGCGCGGAGCAATCGCCGCCGGCGTTCATCAACGATTCGTATCGAAGCAATCATCGCCTGTTCCCGGTGAGCACCTACACGGAGCCGCTGCACAGCAACACCTCGCAGTATGTGCAGCATCCCAAGCCGCAGTTCAGCGCCAATCTGCACAAGTCCGCCAAGTGAGTACGCCCCCGCAGCCCCTTACCCCATCTCCGATCTACAACTGAACTCTTTGCCTGCCTTTCAGACTACCTGTGATAACGCCCGCGGGCGCTGCGGTGCAGCCAGCCTGGCACTCGGTGGCGGAGCGCATTAACGACTTTGAGCGCAGCCAATTGGTGGATTCACCCAAGTTTTCATATCTGGAGCCCAGCAAGACACATCGCCTGTCCAATCCGGCGCTTAAGGCGCTGCAGAAAAATGCCGTTCAGTCTTATGTGGAGCGCCAGCAGCAGCAGGCGCACAAGGAGGAGCAACAGCTGCTGCGCTCACAATCCCACTCGCATTCCTATCAGGCGCTGCACGTAGAGCGCAAATCGCTGCCCAACAATCTGAGTCCCATGCTCTCGGGCATGTCCAACAGCGGCTCTGGCTCCGCCTCTGGCTCCAACTCTGGCTCTGGCTCTGGCTGTAGCTCACCTACTCCACCACCGCCGCCGCCACGCTCCCGTTCGCTGCTGCCCAATCTGCTGCGTCGCTCCAGCTCCGCCTCGGACTATGCGGACTTTCGTGAACAGCATCAGCAGCATCATCACCACCATCAGCAGCAGCAGCTGCAGTCCAAGCCACCCAGCATACGCAACATTAGCAGCGCCGAGAAGCTGTCGTTCAATGACTGCGGCATGCCGCCGCCGCCGCCACCACCGCGCGGCCGTGTAGCCATGCCGGCACGACGCACCTCGTCGGCCACGGAGTATGCGCCCATGAGGGAAAAGCTGCTGCTGCAGCAGGCGGCTGCCTTGGCACATCAACAGCATCATCCGCAGCAGCATCGCAGCGTGCACATTTACCAAACGGCCGTGCAGGCGCCAGAGCGGCCGCCCGAACGGCCGCCCAAGCATCCGCAACTGCGTGTGCCCTCGCCCGAGCTGCCGCCACCGCCGCTCGGCGCTGAGCTGGACAACAGCTATACGTTTGATGAACCGCTGCCGCCTCCACCGCCGCCGGAAGTGCTGCAGCCGCGTCCGCCGCCATCGCCGAATCGACGCAACAGCTTTGCTGGCGCATCCACGCGCCGTTCTGCCTACACTCAGCCCACGCTGGCGCCGAAGGTGCCGCCGCAGGTGCCCAAGAAACCCACCAGCTTGCGACAGCAGGTGAGTCTAGCTCATGCATTTGACTGATTAACAGATGCACTTACTCATGTGTGTTGCCTTCTCATCTCTTGCAGCTGCCTCACAAGCCACAACAACAACAAGCACTGTCCAATGGCGGCAACGTCAAGCCCACAAATCTGCCCACAAGCCGCAAGCGTCCGCACAATCCGCCGCCCATCCTGGAGAGCGTCGTTTCCACTGCCAGCGCCGCGCCGCCGCCGCTGTTGCCGCGCGCTCGGCCCACGCTCGCTGACAGCGTTATAGCTAGCAATCTGGAGAGCAATCAGCAGAAACGGTGAGTGCTGCACAATTTGTACATCAATCATACGCCCCGTTAAGCAGTTGCATTTATTTTCCCCCTTTTTTTTATATTTATGATTTAATTTGCAAGCCCGAAAGTGTTGGCGGCTTTGAATTAAGCAAAGCGGGAAATTGTGCGAAAAGTTTGCTTTCCTTAAAATGAAAAAAACCGATTGCGCAGAAAAGCTTCATGCTTAACGCATTAATTAATGGTCTAATTTTATTCAGTGTTAGTTGAGGCTTAAAGCTCCGCCAAATGTTTTTTTTTCGGGACATATTTTAATCGTAACATTCTCTAATCAATTGTATTATTTGCAAAGCTCTTAAATGAAAGCTTGATACAATGAATCTGTGCTCCCTTATGCTTTAAGCAAATGTTTAAACTTTTTCATATTGACTTAAAGTAAACGCTCAATATCTAATATCTTTTGATATTTCAATACAAATCAGCTTAAGCTATCGCTCGCAGCTAATGTCATTGACATTTACAATTTAAAAGCTCTTTCAGCCGCAATATTTTATAATATGTAATTTAATTTAGTCCATTAACGAACCAATTCAATAATAACCAAATTACTTGGCTCGCATTCCACCTTGAAATTTGCTAAGCAAAATATGTGTGCTCAGTCGAACTCATTTGGCAATTGTGGATTAAAGAAAAATCGCTTTAAGTGTAGCCATGACGCGCCTCGCTCAATTGCCGCATTGTTCTTGACCTTATCGAATCCAATTAACTCTGAATGCGGTGCGTGGCACAGTAGCCGCAGTGCAAGCACCACTGAGCACACAAGCCTCAGCTCAGCTCGGCTCCATCGAGCTGTGCTGGTTAATAAGCCGCTTCCTTTGGGCCAGCTCGGGCCGTCAATCAGCTGTCGTCTAATGTTCGCTGAGCAGCTGTGCCTTGCGCCTAATTGGATTATGAAACACACAGACACACATACACACACACACACACACACACACTGCACTGCACAACATAAATCAAGCAAATCGAGCGTCAACTGCGGACTTTCGCTTTTAGTGGCCATTGTGGGTGACCCAATATTCGAAAAAGCCAAAACGCCAAAAAGCCAATCGCCAAAACACCAAACGCTGATCGCCAATTGGCGCGGGCGCACCTGAGCACCCACCACGACAGCAACAACGGCCACAAAAATGTGTCAACAATTTATGTTTTTTATGTATTTTTATTTGTATTTGTATTTTTTTTTCGCTGCTCCTGTGGCGCGTGGGCCGCAGTTCTTTGTTCTGATTGTGGGGTAAAAGCAAAGCGAATTCAATTTGAACGTAATCGAAATCGAAATTGAAATTTATCTTAAAGGGGTACCCCTTAAAATACAAAAGGTACCATTCTTTTGCACCCGCGCTGACATTGATAGATGAACGATGCTGGGGTTCATTAGCGAGGCGCGCATAGTTTTTGCACCCACTGTACCGGAGGCTGGGTGCGGGCATTAGATAACCAGCCACCAAGTGGAGCAACAACGAGTTGTTGTTCCTGCTGTTGTTGTTGTTGTTGGTGTTGTTGTTGGTGTTGTGGCATGCTCAATAATTTCTGTGGCCTGTCATGTATTTGTTGCTGTTGTTATTTTTGTTGTGTGGTGGCTCTGACACCGCTGCAGACCTTTGCGGCACGATTTGTTGCAGCACATCCAGCACGAGACAAATATTGACACAATTTGTGGCAAGTTTTTGGGCTTGTCTCTCTCCCGTATCTGTAACCCGGGTTCAAATGCCGTTCAATCGTTGAACGTGCCTCATTTGCATTTTGAAAGTTTGGCTGGCTGTCGCGTCTCGTGCAGAAATTGGAGCAAAGGGCAAGCGCATTTCCTTGCAACGCTTCCACCACCTGCACACACACACACACACGAACTGTAATCACAGCATTGCCTGACAGCTCGTATTTTTGGCCCGCTTTGCGGTCATTAATTGGCCAAACACCTACGGCCACTGTCAGTTTCGGTGCTAGAGGTGTGTCAATTTTTGGTGTACTAGAGGGGGGGAGAGGTGCCATGTGTTCTCGACAGGCGCTAATTATCGGCTCTGCACAGCCGGCGGCGGTGCTGCCCAGGCCAACTATTTGAATTAATTTTCCATGGCAATTTGGCCATACAGTCGCCTTTTAGCCGAGTGCCAACTAAGCAACTGGCCAACTAGCGTATTATTTTCAAATTAACTGCCAACTCGATTGCGCACACGCGGCGTATGCGAAATAAATCACTCATGCGCCGCGTTGCGCCTGCGCCGCAATCAAAAAGCAAAAAAAAAAAAAAAACAGCTCGCCAAGACAATTCAATTTGCGAGACAGTCGCGACAGACGCGCGATGCAGTCGCCATGATTAGAGCCAGAAAAGTAACAACAATGAAACCGACGCGACGCCAGTTGCCGGCATCGTCGTCGTCGTCGTGAGCAACATTTAACAAAGTGCTTGCCATAATTTTGGCGCTATCGCCGGCTAAATATCGACAGCAATGATCGATTGAACTTTGGCTGAGAATATTGCGCAAATTTCACGAACACTCAAACACACACACACACACAAAAGGCGATTGCATTTATTTTATGGTCAACGCCAAGTTTATCTCATTTCAAAATGCATTTTTTGTTGTTTCTTTTGTTTATTTGTGTTGTTGCCTTCTGATTTGTGTTCACTGTCATGTTATACGCAATTGTCTTTTACGATTTCTACGCTTGTTAAAAAAAACTCCTAGTGTGGGCCGTAAAGCACTTTTGCTCAGAATATTCCTAGATAAATATATTTTAGTATCATAAATTACATCTAATATATCTCAAAATTCCCCCTAGCCACTTTCGAGTATTTATCGAAAGTCGTTGCATACTTTTAAGCGCCCTTGATAAATGTTATGTCGCGCTCAAGAGTATACTTGAAGTTTTTGCTGGCGCTGAGAGAAGCCTCATGACTAATATGAATAAATATTGTTTGACAAATGATTAACACTTACAATCTTTATAGTATATCAATAAAAACCTATTCATAAATATAAATACGAAATATGAAACCTGCCAATAATCTTCAATTGTTGCTGCGCAGCTATTAAATCTTATAAAGATAAGGTGTGAGTCCAAACAAATTGATGACTACAAAAATATATTCACAAGATCAAGCAAATGTAAATATAAATATAATAATATAAGTAATAATAACATAAATAATAATAACAAAAAGTAATAAAAATATCAAAGTATAAGTAGAAGTTAAAAAATTAACTTACTAAAAATACTTAAATATAAGTGATAAATATATTTCCGAGAATATTAAATACTTTACTTTAGATTACGTTCGGTTTTATGAGCCACTTTATTTTGTGCAGTGCAACTCACACACACACACACACACTCACAGTTTGGCACAGTTCTATTTGTGTAAATCGCTGCCTGAGCTCAGCCGAGATCACTGCAAAGGCCGAATGCCAAATGCTGTCTCACCTGAGATACGGACAAAGAGATAGATGGAAAGAGAACAAGAGCGTAAGCCAGAGCCAGTCAAACATCGCCAAACAAAACAGCAACAACAATAACCATACACTCTCACTTTTTGTGAATTGTCCAGAGCTCTGCGCTTGGCACGCTTGCGCACGCTCTCGCCACTCCGTACGACTGCGCGCGCTCTCCCACTCTCTCTCTCTCTCTTTTGGCATACGCTCTCACGACTGCGCTTTGCCGGCTGCTCCATTGCGGTGCGCCGCTGTCTGCCGCCATCGTTGCTGACATTCGGCCATTTGTGGCCGCCACTTCAAACGAGTGAAAACCGCTGACGCGTGCAGACGTACGCGCAGCTTTGTAGCGTTGACATCAACGACAGCGACAACGACGGCGCGCGTGCAAACAAATTCTCTCAGCCAAACGAATCGCATTTAAAGATCTAAACGCAATGCAAACGAATTTGTCATAAAAAAAATAATATTAATATATATGTGTGTATATATGCAACAAAACATGTTAAACTTTCGCCTCTTTTGCATACGTGTAAATCAATTGCAATTGTCGCGCACTCCTCACGAATAATATATACACGCCCACCGAGCGCCCCTAACTAAAAAAGTGCTACCCAAACGCCAAGAAAAGTGTCGTCCAAGTGAACAAGGAAGTTCGACAGCCCGGTTCAAATGTTATGCCAACAAACCGCACAGCAAAAGTTGCATTTTATTTGCACAAATAACGACAGTGAATTACAATAAAGTAAAAAATAAAACAACAACAACAATAAATACAAGTAACAAGAAAAGAAAAAAAAAACAGGCAACACGTTTCGGTTGTTATTGTTGTTGTTATTTGTAGGCCTTTGTTGTCGCTCAAATTGGATTTCACAATATTGGATACCGTGGATCAGCTGAAAATGGTGTTCGGCGGCAGATTTCGCATTAGAAGGTAAACGATACGTTACACAAAAAGAACTGCCTAGCATATAATTAGTGTTCAATTAATTAAAATCTAATTAACCAGGAAATTCTATAAAACAAAAAAAAAAAAGCAACATGCTATTAATTAAAACTGGGCGCAGTGAAAATGAAAAGCCTCTAATAAGCATAAGCGACAGTTTCTCAAGATATAATCGCAAAACGTGTCTGTGTAAGCGCTAATTGCACTAGTTTTTTTTTTTAAGTGTGTGCGTGTTAGTGTGTGTGTGTGTGTGCGAGTGTGTGTAAGTGGCGGCTAACTTCAGTGTGACCATATTTAGCATGCTCAATGCCTAGCTCCAGACTCGCTAATGACGACAGTTGGCTCCGGTTATAACACACACACACACACACACACAGAGAGAGAGACAACTGCTAATAACTGTTCACAGCTGTTGGCCGTCCACGAAGTGATCTTTAACTCAACATCAGCAGCAGCAGCAGCAGCAGCCGCAGTAGCAGCTCGTGTTGCATGCCACTTGGCAGTTTATATAGCTTGACTCGCTGACTTCTGGCCATTCTCCATTTCCATTGTAGGCGGCAGGTGCAAAACGAAATGCTGAAAGAAACCTTCGC